CGTTGTCGCCGTTTTCTCACCCTGGCCACTACTCCACTACTGCAATTCATGTCATCTTTAGTTTCACCCAGCTTTGAGAGCGTTTCTCCGTACACGATCTTCTCTCGAATGCGGGAAAGTATGGGTTCTAGAATATGCCAAGAAACCGACTCTTTTTACTACCGTTGTCGTTGGCTAAGAAGCAGAGATGCGGGGACGCGCCCGGGGTTGCCCTGCGCCAGGCAGATCACGTCACGATCCCACTTCGGTATTCACTGATCTTCGTTTTGTTTTTTTTGGACAAGTGGACCGAGAGCGAGAGAGCGACACACGGTGCAGTACAACATCGAGAACCGAAGTAAATCCCCCTGAATCGAGCTGACGCCTTACCCCCCATGCCCCCGTTGTTCGTGGCGTGTCGTGTCTCCATTGTGCGTGTCTGTGGTCGTTTTACCCGCACGGCAGCGGTGGAGAGTCCATCTACGGGCCAACGTTCGCGGACGAAAGCTTTCAACTTAAGCACGACCAACCTGGTCTGCTCTCCATGGCTAATTCAGGCAAGGGAATCTCGGTCGGTGTTACCGAGGGGGGGAGAGCGGTTTGCTCGGTAAATTCTGTGCGTCAAGGATTTTTTTTCTTGTTGTTCGACATTCCGCTGCTTGACCTCGAAGTTCCAGCTCTTGGTGCGAATGCCGATTTGCGCCGTCTTTTGACCGGTTTCGTTCAAGATACCGTGATCTGTGGCTCTCGGCTTCCGCTGTCTGCCTGTTTCGTCTGCTATCTCTTTTTCATATTACTCCGTGCCACCGTCTCCTCCCCATTTCTCCGTGCATGTTTCTCTCTCTCCCTCTCTCTCCCTCTCTCTCTCTCTCTCTCTCTCTCTCTCTCTCTCNCCTTTCCCTCGCTCGCCTTCACTCTCTCTCTCTCTCTCTCTCTCTCTCTCTCTCTGCCTTTGTGTATGGTTCTCTCTCTCTGCCCACTTTTTTCTCGTCAGGTCGAGACAGCAACAACTCTCAATTCTTCATCACCTTCGGACCGCTTCCTTGGCTGGACTCAAAGCACGTCGTGTTTGGCAAGGTACTCAATTGATGTCTCGTACGTACGACAGTGCCGGGAAACCGGAGGTTGTGCCTGCGAGTACTCCGACTTGTAGCACTTGCCTGTCTGCCCAATTGTTGCTCGCGTAGTCTGCAGCATTCGATGCCTGAGGATGTGTCAACTCAGATGTGCTGTGACGTCACGGGCGCGTTAGACATGAGCGCGTTTGAGAAGAATCCCTCGAGTTGCCGAGTCGCTTAACTGAATAAAAAACGCGGTGAATCACTTTTTTCTTTCTTTTTTCTCGCGTCATTTTCAACCACGGGTCCGAGCGACTCTTTAGACTGTGCGAAGCACCCGCAACAAGAGTGCGCGATTCTCGGCAGACAAAACAACCGTCATTCAATGACGTTGTCCCCGGCCGCCCTCCACGTCATCGACCGAACCCCTCCCGTTCCCTGCTCTCCTGCGTAAGGTTGTGGAGGGCATGGAAGTGGTGCGAAAGATAGAAGACTGCGGCACAACTTCAGGAGAGCCGACCAAGAGGGTTCAGATAGCCGAGTGCGGCCAGATTCCGGACGAGGAAAAGGACAAGGGGGAGAGAAGCGCTGGCGACGAAGAGGAGGAGGAGGAGGAGGCTTCAGGTGGGAAGAAGAGGCCTAGGGTAAGGTTTGCCAGGAGCGATGACGGAGGCGGCGAGGAACCGAAAAAGAGCAGGCGCGGCGATCGGGACGGGGATGGGAAGGGCTAGCGACGGGCTTTACGACAATGGGAGAAACTGAGTGAAATTGAAAGTGAGCGTGCCAACCGTGGTATACTCGATGACGTTTTTGAGCCTCTTGTAAGGTCCCGGACTTTTGCCGTGAGTTGCGGTCGTACGTCGTGCCAGGAGATTTGTTGGCCGGAATAGGTCGCAAGTGTTTTAGGCATGTTCAGACGTGTGCAGCGGGTCAAGCGCTGCTCCACAAAAGTTGGCGAAGTTTGTGCATGCGTGATGTTGGTTGCCGTTCCCGGGAAAGCGTCCAGCAGCACAAACAACACAGAGTTCGACCCTTGTTTTGCCGGTGTGTTGCCGCACCCTGTTTTGCCTTGCGCGTGCTCCATGCAGAATTGTTTTAGCACAATCGGGGTACCACTGTTTGCGGGCCCGTCTGCAACGGGCCCGTTTTTTGTGGTCAACGCACGGCGTGTTTTTCAATGTGCGCATTTCACAACCGGATAAGTTTCTGCTGCTGACTCAATCAACACCATGAAGCTCAAACTGATGTTTACCCGAATGCTCCGCCCACAGGAGGCAACCTCCCGTTCTTGACTCTGCGATTTTCCAGCCTTAACCGTCTCTCGTCCGCGTTATTTTCTCGCTTCACCGACCGACGGCTCTCAGCCTTGGGCTTTTTGTCCCGCTGGTTCTTTTCCTTCTCCTTCTTGGCGTCTAGCTTCTCCCTGAACTTCTTGTACTCCTGGGTTTCATAGTTGAGATACCGCGCCTCCATCTCTCGCTGTAGCCTTGCTTTCTCCTCCGCTTGCTGTGGGAGCGCGGCCGAGAATTACGGTTGGTGTCGGGAAATCGTCCTCAGACGAAGAGGGCACAATCTGATCATAAAGTTTTGAATGTACGCATGTCTCACCGGAGGAAGACGCGCCGCGTCGCGCCCCCACCCCGTCAAATACAGGCGCAACGTCTACCTGTACGGTGGAGACGCTCGAGTTCCAACAGAGCACAGCTTGAAACTCAGCGAGGCGTGCGCGTTGTGTTCTCATTATGGTTTTGTCTCCTGGGGCCATCACCTCCCCAAGACACAAAATCCACACGCAGGTGCCGGCTTAGAAACAAGGGCGGGAGCAACAACGTCAGCAATATGCCGACTCTACCGCTGGCGTTATGTAGGCGGGGCCCCCACGTTTTCTATCCTCACGCATGTTGACGTCTTCTGGCGGAATCATACGAAGCACCTTTCGCAAGCGCTCGGCTTCGTCCGCCCCGGGGTCGGCCACGACAACGTTGGTCCTGGGAAACATTTTGTCGTACTCGGCCCGCCCGCACGGCCAGCAGAAGTACTTGCAGGCGCCCATCTTGCTCTTGATGCGCCGCTGCCGCATGGCCTCTAGCCGGTTGGCATCGGCCAGCCGGTCCTCCTCCTCGTGCTTCCGCCTTAGCTCGAGCCTGTCTTGGACCTTTCTTTTCTTTCGGCCCCACCAAGCTTCGCCCCACACTGCTTGCATCATCTTTACCTTCGTTTGAGTCAACGCAGCCGGGGGATTGGTTGACTGTTTTGACGAGACGAAACTGCCCACAGTGATTCATAATCGTTCCGTTAGGTTAAAGTGCTACTTCGAAATAATATGGAAGTTCCTTCTCAATGCGCATCCTGGTATTTCCTTCCGAAACCCGCCTCTACTTGTAGATTACCCATGGTATCTGGTATATTATGCTAGTTGGCTAATTAGCTGTTTGGGGGTGCTCAGCACTCGATACTGATCTACGGAGATTTACAGGGTTTCGTGTATCATTGGCGGTATGTGTTGGTAGAGGGGCGATCTCCCTTCTGCTGTGCATAGGCTAGCATGCACGGCGCACTCGTTAATATACCAAGGTCTTGAGTCAACCTTTCTTCCCTGCGCTTCTGACAACGACGCACCCATTGTTAGGCCAATGGCAGCCGCCTACATGATGGTAACGCTTACAGGCTACAGTAAACAAAACCCTCTGGGTATATATACAATCACTGCCGCTAACCTGGAGCCGGAAAGCCGGAAAAAGTAGCGACGGAAACGCCTTGTTGAACAGCTCAAACTCCCAGAACTCGATCTTCCCATCTTGCTGCACGGAGAGCTTGTCGAAGGCCACTTTAGTGTTCCCGGTGGGCCCCTTCACGGGGTCAATGTTGTAGAGCATGTTTACTAGCATTCGCATCTCCTCTTTTTCAATGTAGCCGTTCTTCTCTCGGTCTAGGATGAAGAAGCAAAACCGCAGGATTTCTTCCTCCTCGAAGAGACAAAATGTCGTGATTGCATCCAGCCACTCCGAAAACGTCAGCTCCTGGAAGTCCCGGATACCTACGATTTTCATTCCGATACCATGTCAACAGTTTCAGGGTGGTATATTGAAGGGTATTCAAACGAAAAGAGTTGTGTGAATGCAGTATTTAGCTGATCGAAGCTAAGCGGCATTGTTGCTGGCGCGTAGTATCATCAGTGAAATATGGCGTCTTTATACAACGCGCCTTCTGGACAAGTCATTACGTACACACACCGCAAACTTCAAGCCAGAGTGCAGCTACACCTGGCGCTTGCAGCGCGAACACTGCTCACTGCTCACCGATGAGTTCATATAAGCTATCTCCAAAGATGGATTTTTTTTCCCCGATCATCTTGTACACGTTTGCGAGGCTGAGGCATCCTCGCTGTGCAGTGTCATACTTGCAGAACAACCGGAACACCTGCGTTATTGGTAATGTGCGGGCGCGGCGTCAACATTACAATCACGTAGACGAGGATGCGCATGCGTCGTACTGGTCATTTATGGGTAGTGTTTCGACTTATTGACCTGAGCACACCCGCGGCAACGACTCCTTCGTTCGTGTTTTGGCCTCGGTTTCGGTGGTGAGCTCACCTTCGCCAGATCGGTGTTGCTCAGATCTAAGATTTTGATACTTTTTAGTAATCGGTCGTCTGGTGCCGGCAAGAGAGTTGAACCGCTTGATCCCATCTACCCTTCGGCACCATGAAACATCCCAGGCCTCGCGATGAGCCGACGAGACTTTCTTCAAGCACTCCCGCAGTACCAACAGAGGAGGAGTCAATGCGGAGGAGAGCCTGCTTGCCGAGGCCGCGGGACTGTCACATTGAAACTTTCTGTGCGTGTATTTATTTCTCCTTAATTGAAACGCACGACGTTTGCGGCACAATATGTGACGGTTGGCCGTGCACCCCGTGGGCCTGGACACCTGGACCTGGACCGACTTACCGATTTACCAATTTGCAAAGCTCGACTACTCCACAACTCTACCACCAAAGGGCACCCGAATCTAACCGTACGTTTACGGAAACGCTCTCGATAACACGTTTCCAACAATACTGATTAATTTGCCGTGCTGCTATGTAGTGTACTGCTGGAGAGTATTCGAGGTTTGAGAATCCGGCCAGGGGGTATGATATCTTATGCAAAACCTACCGAATGTATGTTGATAAGAAGCACGGTGACCACTAGATCACCAGCCAGTCATAACCAGTAGTCAAGTGGTTGTCGTGCTTCTAACATAAGTGAATGTCCGAGTCCGTCAAGGGCCGTGTTTGTTTGTGGCTTGAAAGAAAGCTTGACGGATTTTGGCTTCATTCATTCTTTACAAGCACGAAACCACCAGTCAGCGCTGACCACTAATGTACAGCAGTACAAATAATAGTCTAGTGAATGTCGTAGTTCTCATCACATATGTAGGCCTAAATAGACTTAAAAAAAAAAAACACGCGTCAACCCCACCCACATTATATTCACTGCATGCCCCTGTCCAACACAACACAACAAGCAAGGTGGTCACCTTCTCTGTCTTCTTGTTGTTGAGGCTGCTGAACGAGAGGAAATCTAGTCTTCTGGAGGAAAGTCACGGGTGGGTATAGTTGGTCATCATACAGTTGCTGACGTATACACTGACACGATATATCGTGCGTGGAGCCTAGCTAGGCCAGGTGTCGGTTCGGCGATGACGAGGGTATGAGAGAATTTTATGGAGCTGAGGGCTCGTAGTGTTTTTACGGGGATGGCGGCAGGCGGTCCCAAACAAGAGTGATTTTACGAGGGATGGAGGAACGAAGAGCATCGGCGGCAACGGTGAGCGCGCCGATGAGTTGCGGCAGCGGAAGCTCCAGCATGTGTGCGGGGCCGATGTAACAGTAGCAGTAGCAAGGTATGGGTTCCACTCGCGATTGGAGGAATATCGATGCGGCTGGTGGGTTTTATGTCGGCAGTGAGCCGAGGAGATTTCACGGGCCTCCTCAGTGCGATCGGTGCGGGCGTTCTGGACACATCAGCATCAAATGCCTGGCCCCAAACCACGAAATGATCTACTGGAAGTACAACCAATTTCACGGGCCTCCTCAGTGCGATCGGTGCGGGCGTTCTGGACACGCAAGCATCAAGGGCCTGGCACCAAACCACGAAATGATCAACTGGAAGTACAACCGACCTGGACCGTTTCAGCAGCAGCGGAGGAACGGCGAGTTTGGCGACGGGTCTGTGTGTCGGCAGCAGCAGCAGCAGCAGCAGCAGCAGCAGCAGCAGCCAGGCGTGGTGCACGGCGGTGACTCTCAGCAAGAGCCGCGGCAACAACAGCTAGCGGACGGCTTCACCGGGGGTGCAGGTGGACAGGTGAGTGGTGGGGTGTTCGTTGGTGAGAAGGGGGGGGGGGCTGCTGCCGGTTCGTCTGCGGTGTATTTGCCGGTAAAAGCCCCCACCAACGTCGCTTCTCTCAACGTAAACACACACTCCACCCCTCGCTCTTCCGAGCGGCCCGCAACATCACGTGTAGCACCTGCAGTAGTACGGCAAAGCGATGAGCTGGACCTCATGGAGGGCGGATACAGCAGTAGACGTGTAGCGGAGGAACACATGCTTAGATCGTATCACGTTGTTGTAGTTTCGCCGTCCGCGGAATCACAACAACCCAAGCATCCGTCGGAAGCGGCAGCAGCAGCAGCATCGTCCCTGGTCGCCGCGTTGGCGCCCGGTACTCAGACGGACGCAGCGGCGATGGCGGCGGCGTCCGTGACAGGGGGCACGGCAGCAGCAGCTGCTGCTGCGGCGTCCCCGGTCGCCGCATTGGCGTTGGGTGTCCAGACGGCCGCAGCGGCGGCGGCGTCGATATCGGTGACGGGGGGAACGGCAGCGGCGACAGCAGCAGCGGCGTCCCCGGTCGCCGCGTTGGCGTCGGGTGTCCAGACGGTCGCAAGGGCGGCGGCGGCGGCGGCGGCGGCACCGGTGACGGAGGTATGTGACGAAGAGTTGGAGAAAGCGGTTGGTGCGACAACGACGCCGTTGCCAGTTCTGGAGGAGCTCGATAGCCAATGTGCTGGGGGGGACGTGAGCAACAGCAACAGCAGCAGCAGCAGCAGCAGCAGCAGCAGCAGCAGTAGCAGCAGTAGCAGCAGCGAGGACGGCGGCGGCGATGGGGTCGGGGACGAGGGGCTGGATGAAACCTGGAGTGGAGCCCCGACACACCCTTTCGACCCCGGTAAGACATCCTCGCGTGGCGCGAGGAGACGGGGGGCAGTATCAGGGGTTGCGTACCCCTTCGATAGGGGCAGGAACGGGAGTGCCAGCTCCGGCGGCGGCAACGGCGGCAGCCGCAGCAGCGACGAGAGTAGCGGCTTCGGCCAGAGCTCCGGCGGCGACACCGGCGGCAGCAGGAGCAGCGACGGGAGTGGTGGCTTCGGCCAGATGGCAGCAGCAGACGGCAGCGGCGACTTCGGCCAGAGCCTCGTCGGCGGCAGCGGCGACAACGGCGGTGGTGGTAGAGGCGGCAGCAGCGACGTCACCGGCAGCCGTGTTGGCGCTGGTACTCATGACGGTCGTGGCGGCGGGGGAACGGCAACGGCGGCGATGGCAGCGGCGGCAGCAGCGCTGGTGCCCTCGAGTCGACCGGGAACGGGGAGGACGCGGTGACAGCGACGACCTCACCTTGTTACAGTCAAGTGGGAGAACATGTGAAACGTTCACGACTTTGTTCGGTTTTGTGAGCAGGCATGTACGTTTTAGCTTCGCCATTTGGCTTCGCATTTGTTTTTTTTGTTCTGTTGTTCCCTTGCTAGTGCACCGTGCACTTTGATGCAGAAACAAGTGCATGCCACGGCGTGTGCGTAATTTTTTTTTCTTTTTGTACTTGATTTCATGATAATAATTGTACGCTGCGACAAGATAATCATTGCCACAACCTGTGGAATAGGAAGCAGCACGTGGGTATTTTTTTTCCCTTGGTTTTTGGTATATTTTCAGTCGCGTTTAACCATGCAGCTGAATGCTTCATACTATTTCCGTATTCTTTGGAGGGAGTACGTTCAGCCGAGTTTTTTTTTTTTCGACGAACTGGACACTTTGCACTTAGAATGTTTCGATACTTTGGTTTTACATGAGGTCCTGAGTTAAGTGGTCGCTCTCTGCGGTGTGTTTCTGGCCGCGCNTTTGGTATATTTTCAGTCGCGTTTAACCATGCAGCTGAATGCTTCATACTATTTCCGTATTCTTTGGAGGGAGTACGTTCAGCCGAGTTTTTTTTTTTTCGACGAACTGGACACTTTGCACTTAGAATGTTTCGATACTTTGGTTTTACATGAGGTCCTGAGTTAAGTGGTCGCTCTCTGCGGTGTGTTTCTGGCCGCGCGCACGAAATGGGATGGTAGCGCGTTGTTTGACATGCATGAAGGCATACCTATCAGGGAGCAGGGGGGCTTTCGGAGTTCCAGTTGAGGAGACAGTTTGCATACGGTACGAATTATTTCTGAGTTTGATGCCTTGTGTGTTGCGTGTTTTCATGTTCTGGTTTGTATCGCGTGTTTTGCTGCTCTTGCATCGAAAATCATGGGAGGGGATGTCGTGATGTCATGTATGAACATGATTCTAGAGGGCATAAGCAGCAATCGAATTGGTTTGATTTCTGGTCGCGCCTACTTGTGTGTTAGTTGAACGGCAAAGCAAGGGGGCTGTTGGCATCGAAATATTAGCTCGGGGTGAATTTTGGGAGCTGACAGCAGGGGGGCTGTTTGTGTGGATGCTTGCTTACGTTTTCTATCGTTTCTTGGGCAACAGCGACGGTACCGATTAGCGGGCGCGCGCTGTTCAGGATTTGGTCCTTGGACACTGTATTGGAGGAAGGACTTGACATGTTTTGCCGATTCATGGTTGGGGCCGTTGTGCTTTCCGAATTATCGTTTTGATTGGTCAAGAATGTGGAGGTCAGGATATGGAGATTCAGGGAGCACAGATACACGTACATAAAGAGTAGGATCTGAGGGAATATGTGATAATAGATTACTGTTCTCTGAGGGTCCCCAACTCTTGTGATCCCCAACGGCTGCGAAGAGTTGATGGATCTTTAGGAGAATGGGAAAATGGGTCCACGAAGGCTCGCCCACTCTCCGCACCACCCTAGCTTGACTGAGTTCCCTCGGTCACGCTTGGCATTCCTCGCCACATTGCACCAAAGGAAATAGCCAACCTCCGGTGGCAGGACATAGCCACCACAACCCCAGACTCTCCGCTCACCCAGAGTGGAGGGCTTCCATAAAAAGTTGAGTTTTTGTTTTGTTTGAGGATTTGGTGCCAAGTCTTGCAAAGTTGTTTTTTCCAGAAGTATCCGTTTTCGTTCCGACGCCTTTCTGATGTAGCACAAACAACTGTTGGGTACCTTTCTGAGGATGATTCCTTTGTGTCAACTGTTTGAGATTATTTCCAGAGACGAACGCGTTGGATTCGTCAATGAACTGATGGATGTGTAGCCAGTTTTGTCGAGTAAGTTTTCTCAAGGGGTGTTTTTCTGTGTTGGCTGATTGCGCGTGAAGGGTTGCAAGATCGTACATCGTATCAAGTAGGGGGGCTGTTTGTGGTACTTGGATATGAGTCCGATCTGTGCATCCTCTGTGGGGGATACGCGTATGGGAAATGTGGGTGTGATGGGTATGTATGCGGTTGGGGTCCAAGTGCGGTCCCCCCGGGTGAGCACACGGCGGTGTGCTCCCGGCACTTGCCTGAGGGGCTTGCGTGACGGATATATATAATGCACGGTCCTTTTTTATCTGCTGTTCCTGGGATAACATTGTACCTAGTCTCAACACCACAGACCGCTGAGGGCGGCAGTGCACACTACTATCCGCGAAACGTCAATTTTGGGTCGAGGCTAATATTTTTCTTGTTTCGTCACCACCGTCGGGCGTAGTGCCATTTTCTCGAGTTTAGTGTGAAATCCACGGCTGGCTGACTTGAGGTTTGTTCCTTGTTCGCAGCTGCCAACCGCATGATCAACCACTGAACCTTTTCTTCCTCCCCTGGAGTGACTCTGATCTTTCGAAGATAAAGTGGTTTATAGACCAACGGATACATGGGCTAACACCGTGCGTGTCTTCTGAACAAACACGAGCTCAAGGAGGTGCGATCCTCGCCGGTTTTGGTGTTGATCCCACAGTGTTTTTGTGGGGTGAGATGCGTTCGTCCCCAGTCGGCCTCCCTACATAGTCTAGAGTCCTTAGCGCAAGGCCTTCAATAAGAAGAACACAAGCCCGCTCGGATACCCACCGCGATCGGACGTGCATGCATTTGGTTCTCAGTTCCTCTCGTTGTCGACAAAGAGATCGAGCGAACCAACTAGCTGCGAAGAGAATCAACTATTAACACTATGTTTGTAGCTCTGGCAACCACGATCCACTCCTTCTACCTCCTGCCTTTCGCAGGAGTTCCATTCTCGTGGGTTGGCCATATTGCGTCCCCAAAACAAAACGGTAAAAAAATACCCAAAACAAAACAAACCACATCCAACCTGTTGAAATGTTGCGCCCCCAAAAACCAAAAACCAAAAAACACCCAATGCCAAAAACAAATCACTCGTATTCAACTAGTAGTGTAAACACCACCAAATTGAGCATCGAAGGGGCAGAGCGTCTTCCCTTGACTCGGGGAAAGAACCTCCCGCGCCGTTTTGACGCCCTCTTTGATACCGAATGAGGTCGTTTCAACAAACATTTCCCTCAGTTGTAGTATATACAGTTGCGTGTTGTTACCCCTCAATGTACAGAATAATAGCTTGTAGCATGCAAATTAGCTCTCCTCGGCGTTATGTACAGACTCAAACTAAATATCTTCAGAAAAGGTAACCTCTACGCTCCCATCGCATCGCATGCACCTGCCTCCACCAACCCCCTGCTCCTCTTCCCCCCGAACTACACGGTACGGCGAACCGTAGTACTCTGCCAGAAAGCGTTTCCGAGTAAACAGAAGCATGACATCTATAATAGTTCAAGGCACACGCGCACACGATAGCATCATCGGCGGGCATTCTCAAAACAGCATGCCCTCTGTTGCACAACAACATCCTCGGGGCGGGGTGCGTGCAACCAACAGCAGCAGCGCATGCATGCTGTAAACGACTCCGGTAGGTAACTTGCATCTTGTTCGCTCGAAAGGACCCTTTCTCTGCCAACAATTAAACGCCTACCAGGTTGATGTCAATCAATAAAAAAAAGGTGTGTGAACTCGCATCAACATTGTATCCACCTCACTCACTGGATGTGCTTTGCACTACTTGAAGAGTATCGATGGCAACGTGTGTCGCTGTTGGCTATTTCACCTGTACATATATGTTTCTAACACATGTCTGTGCTTTCCCTACGTACAGGGATACCAAATATCAACAACAGACGGGCTACATGTTGTTTCAAAACGCTGTCAAATCTTGATCATCACGCACGCGCTAAAACAACATATCCCACCTAACACAACATCCCCTAATACAACAAGCCATGGATACAAAATGCGTGGGACACTCGGTCAGAGCTAAAGACGCAACAACAACAACATCAACAACAACATGTAATTTCGATATCCTTTGGTAGGGGTTCGTGGTCGAATAAACCGGTTGAACAGCCTTTCGCTACCAGACACCAAGGTTGAGACGATGCGGCGTGGTATTTGAGTCTCCTTACTACATGATAGCACAAAGCAATGCCTTCCCCTGATAGGACGAAAGCCGCACGGCCATCATCCAACCCCCCCCGCCGTACAGTTTGCGGAGTCGCGCGATCAGCACCCGGCCATCTTATGATCACAACCCCCCGCTCCGAGACGGATCAAATGTAAGGGTCAATATTAGTTGCCTGGCGAGTGACGGTGTTCACCCAGTACTTGTTGCCCCGGGAGTCGTAGAGTTCCTCCCACCTACGAGTGGGCACAGCCGCCTCTGCATGGCTGGGACCCAGCGCGAGAGGAGGGAGGATGGGCGTGGCGGCGACGCCTTGAGCACGGAACGGCGGGGTGTAGCCGAGCTGCGGAGGACTCATGCCGAACTGCTGGCCTCGCATCGGAGCTTGCATGGGGCTCACGTGAGGGCTCCCCCCCACCATCTGGTACGAACGGTGTCCGGTGGCGTAGTTCACCCTGGGCGCATGTGTGCACAAAGATAACGGCAACGAAATGACGGTAGCGGTATTGTTGGAAAGATAGCGTCGGGCAGAAGATATGTGGGCAATGACGACTACTTCCAGGGCTGTCTGATACAATTTTTGCGATGTCTGTTCCATCGCTCGGTTGAGTATGTTCTCCATTGAGAAGACACGAGGATTATGCTACAGGCTCCGGCCAACAGAAAGCTCCCGAGCGACTAAGCACCTTCTCAGGATCGTTGCGAGCAACATGGTACGCATGACAACAAGACGCGACAACCTCCGACGAAGAACTGTGTTCTGCTTTGAAGTGTAGCTCCATGCGTACAGCACACGTACGTGTTGGTCTATCTTATCTCGCCAACAGACCCAGATAGCGCCTGATAACCCGTCCGTGTGAGAGTGCTTCATTGCTGGAACGCGTCCATGTTTTAGTTTGAATTCTGCCGGTATCATTCCAAATCCGCGAGCGAGCCTCAACCCCGGCGTGAAGTTGAAGGCAAACTGAACAACAAGTAAAGCAATCCCTGTATTTTGTTCTCACCAGTAGCATCCGTACTCGTCGTAGTAGGGCCCCAAGTAGCCGTTGTTAAGAGACATGTTTCTGCGCGAGGCGGTGGTTAGTTTGGGAAATGGACGCAGGAGTGGATGGATTAAACTTGGGTTACTCGTTGCGTGACACCTATCTATATGCGCAAACGTGACGTCGCCCAGAGGAAGGTTCTCGCCACGCGGTCAGTACAGTAGACTTTGGTTTCAGCAAAACGGTTGTGTGTGCCTAGTCTACACAGCGATCGATCCGCAGCGCTATATTTTTCTCGCTAATGAATCCTGGTCTCCGTTGGAAGCGACGCGCTGCAAAGCTCGTTGTTAGTAAACTTGGTCGACTTCATAAGTCGCGAGGGAAGGGATTGCTGTACCCTTTTCGCGATAAAAATATCTCAGGCAGGAACCGCAGGAGGGGGTAGAAAAAAAAAATGTAGTCTGGTCTGAAATTAACTTGTGCGCCGACCGCGTGGAGAGGGTCGGTCACATAATGCGACCCCTTGTGGGATGTCACCGACATCAAGTCTACCAGCGTAATGGCAAGTGACTCAACACTGACACTGCTAAGGATGAAGGATCAACTTCGGGGGGAATCAGCTGCGCGAACAGCACATAAAACCCAAACGGTGAATTGTGTACAACCTACGGCCTAAATTTCTAAATTTATTGCTGTCTGCACATAGTTCATACCGTAAGCGGCAGAGAGATGGCACCACCCCCTTTGATCAAGAGGGTGAGGAAAGAGCCCGGTATGTCTACGGAAAGTCCTCGACGAGATGTTTCCAAAACCATCATCATCGGTGTGTTGACATACAGTAGTCTAGACTAAGCAACTTTGGTTGTGTGGAGCAATCGAGCTTTGAGTATCGGTCTACATAGATACGGCGGGTGTGCCATCTCTCCGCCTCTTTCGCTTAAATACCCACCCGCCCATCACATCCATCACCTGCGAGGTTGTCTGTTGATCTTGGATTTTGTCTGGGTGCTGCCGACTGAGATCGCTGGCCCGTGGGTTGAAGGGTGAGTGAGATGTTTTGGGGGAGGAAATAGTGTGTGCATACGGTGCGAGCATCCGGCCGGCTGGTTTCAAAAAGTGTCATCGACACGACGAGCGTTCCCCGGAAAGGCTCTGTCGTCGTTCGCCGCAACGCCGCAACTGCAGCATCGCCACACCAGAAAAAAACGAAGCGGCCAAGAAGTATCCGTAGACTCCACAAGAACTTTGAGCCGTTCTTCAGCCCGGAGCAGCGACCGGCCCGGAGACCTGCCGGAGATGCTACCCATTCTGCTGCATGCGGCGGTCTGCCGACGACGCCTTCCCCAGAAAATTCTCACGCGCTTGTCGGCGGCGGGACTGTCAGGTTGGTTACCCCGCATTTCCCCGTTCCACGCGAACAGGATTATTGCTACACATGCTGCCTGCTGCGGTCTCACCAATGCGCCGTATGATACCTCTCGATATTCCGATATTCCAGTATCAGAGATGGAACCCCCATCCAGTTTGAAGAGCAGCAGGGTACCAGATAATTTTCGCGCCGCTCTTCTGTACCCCTCACCAGCTCTATTCTCTCAACCTGCAATAACGCGCAGATCGTTCCATCGTTCCCTCCGTTCCTGGTCATAGGGCCGTTTTATACTAGTCTACAGTAGTAGTACCTCACCTCACGTCCCCCCCTTCTACACATAAACTTCCACCCGTCTCGTCACTTCCAAGCCCTGTGTTTCCAAGCACTTGTCGCCTTTCACCCCCCACATCTCCAATCTCTCTTATTGCCCAACGGTACAACCGCAAACCTCTCCCACGACAACACCCTCACAGCCAGTCAAGCGGGCAGCGGTCAGCGAACATGGGAAACGTCTCGTCTAGGTGAGCGGAATATATCCTGCTGTATCCACGCGTTGCTGGAGACGAAGACCCAGCGTGATTGTCATACGAACGAAGCAACTTCCTGGCGACAATAAGCAAGCCCTCACCCTCACCGAGGCTACTTCTATTGTCCGCACAACAAAACACGTTCGATCCACGGGAATCATCAGCTGACTGAGTGGAATTCGGCGACAAGCATGCGGAGAGCGCTGCCCATGTAGTTTATGCGTGCTTCGCACCTATTCAGCTGAACAATCCGCAACAAGACCCAATCTGCTGCTGTAGCACGTCAATGCGAGATACCTTTCTCCGACAGCAATGTTCGCCGGCGCGATAAGACGTTTCGCGCATTCCCCGACAGCAGCAAGATGTGCGGCACCTCACATGGCATGTCGATGCTAAACGTGTTCCTCGATCGTCTGACAAACCGTTCCATCAAGTTGTCAGTGTCGTCGCCGAACGCCCCCCCCCTGTTCATTGTTTCCCTCTTTTTCGCGTCCAGGTGGCGGGCACGCACGCAATACCGAAACAAGAGATCAGGCGCAGGAAGAGTTCAGACAGATAGATAAACTTCGGCGCATTCCGCTGTTGTTCTCGTTCGTACAAGAAGATGCTCACTATCATGCCGTAGACTGCTGTTGTTGCCGACAGATAGATCGATAGCACCATCGGCGAGGTGCGAGGTGTAAACGCCGACAAACTCAAGATCCTTCCTCGGGAAAAACTCACTCAACTGTTATTGCTCGCGAAAGTTTCGAAGCGCTGTGTGCTTCCGTTCTAGACGCCAACTTCAACATGGCGCTACGAAGCACCTCAGTTGCCTAGACGAGGGTCAGATCCTTCAGTTTTCATATATATATGGAGTGCATGCCCACCACAGGACATGCTGAGTATACATCATCCGTGCACCTATACCAGCGCGTCTCCCTGCCTGATCCCGCGGAATATCCCGTGCAGCGACGACAGACGAACCCGCTCCACGACCCACGGAAAATCACTTTCTCTTCCCGGTGCGACCAAAACGTGGCACGCTCGCTATTATACGCGGTGAAAGCCTCACCTGTCACTGCTGCACCGCGCACCACCACACTACTTCTGTTGGGCACATCGACATGATGACTCCAAGGGGGTGTTCAAGAGGACGCTAATCGGGGTTCCATGTAGTCTGTATATCCAAGGCACTGACTTGGAGACACAAGAAAAAAGAGAGTGACATTCGGTTCAGAAAGTTTTTTTGGGCCATGCTTCGTCGGTTTTGTAGCGGACATGATGGAGCAACTACCTGCTGCGCGTTGCCGCCCAGATCTAATACTGGGGTCGCGCGGTCGAAGACTGCTGTGGCAAAAAAATTGGGTCGTCCAAGGCAGTGAGTGGTAGGAACTACAATAATACTACTGCTGTTGTACACCCACAGTTCAGCAGGATTGATTGTGAATGTCATGGACGACCCAGATTTGCGGACTTTTCCGACCGCAGCTAGCGGCAGCCCTCGATAGCAAGGCTCCACCATGCCCTCGAATTCAACACCGGTGCAGTAAATATCAACACTTTTGAACGCAAAACAAGCTGTTCAAGCACCCGCTGTGTCCCCTGTTTCGTCTCGATTTGAGGGAAGTTGTGTAGAGATAGACTAGGCAGTATGCTGAAGGAGGCTAATCTCAGCCGCTGCTCTGTGCGACACCAATGTTTTCGTCCGCAGTAGGTACTTCCCAACTCTTCTTGCGCACCTCGTGTGTGTGAGACCTCTGGATGCTGTTCCAGTCGTTTTCCGAATCAGTCAAAATAATCACCCCATCAGAGACCTCGCTTTCTTTGAAAAAATACACATACGATGACGGAAATACTAGAGTCTGTCCTGTTAAATTTTCCCACAAGATGACCCCCACTTTATTCATCTCGCTGGATTTTGAGAGTTGACACGCGAAAAAAAGTGAAGAACCGCAAGGTCGAGAAGCATCGAAATCTGGCGTCAAACAAAAATCGGTGAAAGTGGCCGTTTTGGGGGCGAAAATTACCCCGAAATTGCCCCGAAACGGCACGTTATTACCCCTTAACATTGCCCCGCAACGCCTTCCAACGCATAGCAGGTCGTGTACGAGTGAGAGGTTGTCTCTTATGTTCATAATCCGAGTTCGTTTTCCTATCCCTGTCAGCACCCTCGCCCCCCAAACCAGCTCGACAACGCCACGAACAACAACAACATTTTGTCTAAAATTACCTCCGACCCCCCCCACCTCGCTCTAGTCTTGTTATCAAATCTAAACGATGCAAATACATTCTTATCACCTAGTCTTTGGATTATGTACATACACTATCGTTGCGGATGGCGCTGCCGCTCAGATCAGGTGGCTGCGAGTTTTGCCGCTGTGACCCTCTTCAACATCTTATCGGCAGCCTCGTTAGACTTTTTCCTGGCCTCCTTGGCCGCGGCAAGGGCGGCCTGCTCCTTGGCCTTACGCTCCTCCGGGTTTGTCGCTTGGCCACGAGCCAGCAACACGTTGTCGGCCGTGTCGGTGGGCGAGCGCTGGCTCGTCCACTTCTTGAGGTCCCGGGTTTGCAAGTAGCCCTCAAGCCCATGGCTGTAGGCATAGATGTACAGCCAGGACACGCGGGCCCACTTCCGGCAGAGTGACAAAGAGACAGTGCTCAGAGTCACGGGAAGCCTTGCAAGCAGACTCAGGACGGAGTAATCGCAGACGCGGCCCGAGCTGCCCGAGCTGCTGCAGCTGCCATGATCACTGTCGCTGCTGTGCCGGCTGCTGCTGCTGCTGCTGTGGTCCTGCTCGTTCGTCTCCTTCATAACATGTGTCGTTGTCATGTTGTGGTGGAGTGTCCGCAGCGAGTGGTGGGGGAGGGTCCGCTTTTTTCCCGCCGAACCGGCCAGCTGCTCGTGCTTGAAATCTGCCAGCCTTCTTGCTGGGACCGGGAGGACGCCCGCACCCAGGCATGTTCAAGTATAGGCCTGGGTGGGCCCTCGGTGGGGTCTATGGGATTGCTGTGTCGTGTGCTGTATAGTGTGTCGTGTGATGTGTGTGGTGTGTGAGCACACCAAACTTTGACCGGCCATCTCCTTCAAAACATTTTTTTTCGAAAAAAAAAAAACGGTCCTGGGTGCAGGTCCAATCGCCCGAATCCGTGGAGTTTTTCGAAATCTATCGGTGCGTTTCTCCCCAAAAAACATAACTCTGAGGCCACCTGGAATGTTTTTTTTTGCCCGTTTCTCCGTGATATCTCAGCGAAAAAAAAGTTGAGTTGGGTCGCCGCGCACCCCTCGACGTGTCACGCTCAAAACCGGTCTTAAAAAAAAAATGGACCTCACACCCGAGCAAATAAAACGAATCAAAATCTGGCAAAATCTTGACGGAATCGCGATTTTCTCGCAAAAAAAAAACTGCTCCGATCAAACGATCCGCCTGAAACAGAGCTTTCTTACGATGTAAGGTATGTTACCAGGGGGTACGTCAGTCATTCAGAATAAATTCCGGAGTGATTCCAGGAAATCGTGGGAAAATTTAACCGGCTAGACTATTATATATATATATGTTGGAAGAGATCAGGTCCATATCAAAGTGAGTTGTTTGAATGCGCTACAGGGAGTGTTGAGGAAGACTTACTGAGCCTTTTCAGCGTGCGTGTTTAGAAGGGTTCGTTTCTTGTTTAGCTGATGCAACTCCGTTTGGCGGCTGGTCCCTGCCGAGCAGCCAGGCGGTGAATTTTTCTACGTATTTTCGCGCATACTCGCTACTATTATTGTTTGTCTCGGCGCTTTCCTCCCTCACGGTCCTCGTCGTGCCGTCCATTCCTCAGATCTCCGGCAATGGTTTACAAGGACGGCAATATCTGGAACAGCACTTTTGACGAAGCTGGGAACAGCTGCTGGTGAGTCTCTTCTACTATACCGATATCTCTTCTATATTTACATTTGTCGAACCAAGCGCTTCGGGCGCGACACAGCGTCGCACGAGCGTAGGTGCGTGTGTGTTTTTTTGTTGTTTTTGTTCAACGCCCCCACGTCCCACCCTTTTCCCCGCTATGCTTGCCTTCGGTTTCGTGTCCCGCGATTGTTCATTGTTGTTTGGTGCATACTCACGACATATTCGCTTTCCACCGCAGAATTTCCAAGTGTTATCTCCCGAGGGAGATTCGAACCCACAACCTGCTACCAATAGTAGATTTATGAGGTAATTCACTAGATATGTAGAACAACACTGGTGTTGCTACTGCGCGCCGACTACTTAGTCCTACCGGAGTCGCGGCTGATTCACGTACAGACCAGGTGCCTTCTACCTAAATTTCCAGCTAACTTTGACCTATGGAGCTTCCATGTTTGTCGATCAAGTCAACAGCTACTTGATCCCGGGCAAGTGATTCCTCCTGCATCGCATATATCTGCCGCCATCGTCCCCGCCATAGGATCCCTGCTAGCTACCACAGGCTACCAGCATACGAACGTTCTCGGAACTGACGCGTCGACGCCCTTATCAAGAACGTCATCAAGAAGAACGCCGCTGACTTTCTCCGTCAATGACTTGTGCTCGACCCTCGACCCAGGGTGAACAGCGCCACCGGCGAGAGAGCCTACCACTTCATCGGCGGCAAGGCCGTGAGGGGCCCGTCAAGCGCCGCCAGTTCGCCCCACACCATGCAGAGTCCCGGGCGCGTCTCCCGGCGCCCCTCAGATACCACATCGCCCTACGCTATGCATAGCCCCGGGCACGCCGCGCCCTGGACCGCAGGCGTCCCCGCGATGCACAGCCCGGGAGGCTACGTTGCTCCCCCCATGCATCACAGCCCTTCCCCGGCGGGCTTCGCTGCGCACGCAATGCACAGCTCGGCGCCAGCGGATTTAGCTTGTCCCACGACGAACCACCCTGTGCCTGGCCAAGCTGCCGCGACCATGGTCCCCTACTCCTACTACCATCAGCCGGGCTACGGGGGGGTTGTTGCCGCCGGCGACCCGACTCCTACTGCCGCTGGCGAAGCAATCGGGTATCCCTCGAGCAAGCACTATGTCAGGCCTCGCTCAAAGGCGTCGTGGATGTGGACCCAGCCGTAGTGGCGAGCCCGTTTCTTCCTGACATAAAAAAGTAGACCCACGCTTCAAGATTGTTTCTGTCTGGTGTTTGTGGTACTGTGGTCGAGTGTACGGCGGTTGTGACGGTTTCAACCTGTTGTTGTTGTGGGTCAAGGGGATACCATTCTCCCATCTGATATTCCGTTGTGTTAAAAGTAGAACTTCGGTGACACATCGGCAAGCAGGCGTGACATTTTCATTTAGTTTATTTACCAAAGCTACAGATCGCCTATGCTACGGCCGGGGTACACAACAAGGATGTCCCCGTATGTGTAATAGGTGAGCGAGGGGTGTGCACGGCGTATGAGAGACGCTGACAAGCACTCCAAAATCGGTAGCACTAAACTCCGCACATACAATACGCGGGTTTCGGCTGCTTCGATGTGACCAAACAATGCGTCTCTGGTCTTCGGTCATCCTATTACTGGGTTTTTGTAAAAAATGGTGTTGGGGTTACATTATCAAAGCGAACACATTGAATGTTTTGTAGAGAGGTTGGACTCTTTCGCCTTCTGCCGTAAAAGCTGTCGGTTGATCCTTGTTTCAATGATCCTTGAGGTGCCTATGACTAGATCGAGCGTGGTGAGCACCGTGAATGCCTCGTGCGTACGAATACATACGTGCATGTATGAGAGCATTTTTTTTAAGGGCGGCACAGGTCTTCCTGGCAATAATGCCGTGCTCGTCGCGGGTCACAGGCACCAGAAGTCGAAGGCCGTTGTTTTTCAAGGCTCCGAGGGCTGGTTGTAGCTTCCGTGGGAGAACATGTAAATAATGTAAAGTTTAGTGTCGACAGTTCGCGATACGAGGTACTTAAGCTGCCCAGCGGCAGACGTGTGCATTTTTTTTTGCAGATGGTAATGACGCTGGTTTCATGTCACGGGAGGGAGCACAACTCCCACCGAGGCATGGTTAGCTATATTGAGCGAGATACGCGATGACCCACAGCTGGGTTGACGAGGCTGGATGCATCGGTTTGTTGTTGGTACAGGTTGATCTTTCTGGTACAGGTGGAGTGAGTCGTTGCCCCCCCCCCCAAACCAGCAGCCGATCTTCGCACAAGGCAGAATGGACGTATTGAGAGGGGACAGACAACTTATCTATTTGTTTGTTTTGGTGCACCTGATGCTCAGCAATGTGAGACGTTGCGTGCATTCAAGTTCATCAGGCAGGTGCAAGGAGTTTGAAGATTATTGATGGAAGCGAGAATTTTCATGTGAATTGAAAAATATATACTTCGGGATGCAGTCCATGGGGACGACGTAGTGGAGAGATGCGAAAGACGACAGAGAGGAGGGAAACCTCGCAGCATGCTAAATGATAGGGTACGTATGTGGCCAAACGGGTTTATGGTGTCCACCGACCACTACACGATGAGTAAATCGTGGTTAGTGTGTGACCTGGCCTGAGTCCGATGTTGGTGAAGCAATGTAGGGGATGGAATGCAGAGTTTTGGTTGCAGGGTGTGGGGTGACCGTGCTGAACGGATGTCGAAGGCTGCAGATATGCGAGGGCGGTCGAGAGGTGGGGTGGGAACACGGTGTTCTCCAAAAGGCGGACGAGAAGAGAAAAGTGGACGAGAAATTTGTTCGAGTAGTTGAAGCTGGTTGACGGAATCGCTCATTGACTCGGGCTAAGTGAGGGAAATCCTTACGTGCACTTCGAGCCCTGCCGTCGATAGTAATACGGACTTGATCGAGACTGACTGCGAAGAGCACCGGATGAGTTTTTGCGTGTGTTACTGCCTTGTGACGGGCCACGGAACGACAGGCCGTAACGACGAGGTATCATATGGAGAAGCTTGACCATCCATTAGACTACACGTCATGTATTTTCTGACCATCCTCTCTGTATGAGAATTTTTCTGTCCATCTATCTATCTTGTAGAACAGCGTGCGTGGCGCTTGGTCTGAGCAATTATATGACCAGTTAAACAAAACAAATGCTGGAAGTACCCCTCTGCCCATGATGTGCAAAGAGTGACAACGCTGCAGCAGGAACGAACGGAACTGCCTTAAGCCGAATACCTTTCTTCAAGTGTCATGATTCTGAGCGCCCTCCTTGTGGACGAGGATATATATGTGGCCCGGAGGGGGGCTTCCCCCTAGATTGTTCTAGTGTATTCTCCTTTCACAACGCATTTTTCACACGTCTGGCCATCACACAAACTCTAAGGGTCTCTCCTCGCTGTGCGTTTTAGTGAGACAACATGCATAGCCTGTACAGGATTAGTGAAAATGTTTTTATATGTTCGGCGGGTAACCAGACGTAAGCACCCTAGCATTCGATCCCCGTGGAGTTCAAAGACATGCTTCCGTGACTAGGGCGGCACCCGTCGTGTTGACGTGCACGGAGCCTATGAGCGGGAGAACTCAACGCACGGGAGACTCTCCGCATCTCCCCAGACAACACACATACCAACTCCCAGAGACTCTGTGAGTATCATACCGACCGCCGGGTACCCCGAACAGCCCCACTACAATATTCGGTGCGCGGTACGATCCTGGAGACTCTCGAAAAATTGCCAGGGCAAAACAGAAACTAAGTCCAAATCCAACAGATCCATCTCCCAAACTTATTGATCCTCCTTATCTCCCAAACTCCCAAATCTCCCAGTGTCTACACACTCAGATTTTCGTGATCTCCAGTGCTTCAAAGTTTCAATGAGAATCTACGTTTCCTTCACTTGGATGTATCCAGCACTCACATCCTCTTCACATTTACAAACCCAATACCAGAATTACATGTCATTCCCAGAAAAGTACAACAGTAAAACTAGGATGGACAACAAGCAGTCAGAGAGGGTACAACGTTGGGAAAACTCCATAAATAAATATAAACACCATTATTTATGTTTTCTCCCTAATGCTCTCTGGTAGCAGCTCCCGGTTCCAACAATCAATTCTCTCAATCTTACCAAGAATCTGTAGATAGGTACGTAGATCGCGGATTTTTCACTTGAACTTTAAAACCAAGACGAAAACAACCTCGATCGAGTCCGTCATTTAAAAGAAAAACGTGGAGAGAATATGCCATGAAAAACCGGACACAACAATGACCAGAATCCAACCCAGGTACAGCGGTTGGCGCTGCTGCCTGTTAAATCATGTCATACTCAACCCTCAAACCCCCCCCCCCCAGGATTTTTACGTGTACAATGTACCACCCGAATGTATGTCACGAAAAAGTCAACGAAATAACTCTAAGTCACAATAATACTCGGTTGGGTGGGTGCATTTTCTAACACTCCGTGGTGCAGCGTTTTTTTTGTGAGGAAATGATATTCTGCGGACGGTACACAAACTAGGATGAGACCCCTGCTCTACGTCGCAGCAACAATTTTAGTAGCTTTTGCACTGTGTTCGATCACTGTAGAAACTTTGTATGCCGTGGTGTTTTCAACAGCAGCAGCATCATCATCAGCCATACATACACACACACGCTTTCGAATTAATTACTCTCATTTCTTGTTGAAGCAAGTCATATCGGAGAGAGAGAGCGGCTCTGATGATGAGGCGCAGGAAAAATTGGGCGGAAAATGCATCATCATCCAGTGTGCGTCTACCAACACTAAACCTTGTGCGAATGGCTATGGATGGCGTGAGTGTATTCGCTTGAACGCTTTGATCGAGGTATCTATCTGCGATGTGCACGGATGTATGTGCAATCGTTCCAAGAAGTAGGTGTGTGTGTTTTCGTGTTATCTCTTTAAAATGATGACATTCCCCCCATTTATTTTTCGTAGTGAGACGTACCACACTCTTCAGCGTACCGTAAATGACACAATATAAGAAACCCCGGTGGTAACATTTTGGGGTTTGAAAATATTACCACCCGGTCTGCTATACTGTGGGGGGTGTGATATATTGTGTACCCCCGGTGATAAAGTGCAGCTCGCATCGGTCCCAAGAGGGTGTGATAAATAAGGGGGTGNACCTACACCTGAAAGGGTGTGGTATTGCGGAGGTGTGATAGGTATACATGCCTGCACCAACACGTGTAGTGTATTTAGGGACCTACGGTACCTAAAGGGGCGCGGGACAAAAAACAAAGTGGCTCAACCGAGGTGAGGGAACGCCTGAGCACATGGCCTCGGCGAGATCAACCTTCTCAACGC